CGCAAGGGTTTGGGATAGGATCTTGCCGTTTACACGGGTTCAGGGTTTAGGACTTAGGGCGTCACTCTCACAACTGAGACAAGCCAGGCTAGGTGTCAGATCTCTCGAGAGAGAACAGTAGGGTCAGCGACAGTACCTCAGACTACTGTAACGATGGGTTGGCTCTGGTCGTCCACCTTGCTCAAAGCAGGCATGGACTCAGGCCAATGGGTCTCAGCTCGGGTTGGCGTAGGCTTCTAGAGCTCAGGGACCAGCTCTTCTGTCCAACAAGGAAAGAGTGTGCGACAAAAACACTACCCCTAAATCTTGAACCCTAAGACACTAAGAGTCCGCCTCTGCCTGGATCTTTGCAGCTGCCTCTGCGCATGCGGAGTGTTTCAATGATATTCGTTCGGAGCACGTCCTCCCTGGCTGCCCCACAACAGCCCTTGCCTCCTTCTTTAGACGGCGGTCCTCATCGGAGGCCTTCCTCGGGATGAAACCCACTCTCCCCAGCACTCCCCAAAAAATCTCCGTCCGATCCGTGCAGAACACATGTGCCTGTCCACGCTGATCGCGAAGTTGGTGTCGACCGGGCCGTCGTAGGGGACTTTCCAGCCCCCCAGCGGCGCCGTACCAAGCATGCGGCCTTCGCTGACTTCAAGAAACGCAAGAAGCCATAAACCGCCTCCCTTCTGCTGCAATCATCTCTTTGCTACTCCCTAAACCCTTCCAAAAACCCCTCAACCCCAAACCCCAAACGCCCATGGTAAATGTCTCAAAACGCGGCTCGCTCTCTTTGAGGCCGGGGTCCGGGCCGGGATTGTAAGCCCAGACCTCCTCGGCGCCCACGCGAGGGCCGAACCTCAAAGCTACCACTCGGAGGGGCAGCAGCCGCTTTGCTTTCATTGAAACTTTAGAAAAGGCCTAGGTTGTGGAATGTAGTATAGGATATTTATCGTATATTATAGCATGTATTCAAGCACAGATCACATTGACATAGCATATTACAGTACATGTTGTAATATGTTACAGTTCAGGCCCTTTGAGAAGAAGTCCTCAACAGACACAGCTCAGCTGGGCTTCCTGCCACCAGCCGCAGAAGGTCGGGTTCTGCTTGTCATCCCAGAAGTAGATGTGCACATCCACTCCGTCTTTGGTCTGAGCAATGGACACTTAGATTGCCCGCCCGACTTGCGACACCAGATGTCCCATCCCGGTTCTGTCTGATTGCATGTGACACGCTCTTTCGAACCCGAGCCTGCTCCGTCTTTTTGTAAACGGGCTTACCTGATAGCTCTGACAATCTCTGCCATCACAAGATAAGATCGTTTCAGCCCTTCTGAGGCCGAAGGCCATGATTCTCAGCGGTTCGAACGTAGCTGCCGTTCACGATGGTGCCGACAACTGCATGACTGCAGCCACTGACCTCGAGCCGCCAAGATGGTAAAAATGGCAAGGGTGGAGACCGCAATTGGGAATGCTTGCAATATGCTCTGCTTCGTTCTATTACCGTATGCTCTTTAAACAAACCGTATGATCACATATCACGTGACATCAAATTCTAATTCGGCCGGAGCACCACAATGTGTGTGTCTCCACCAACTTCTTTGGGTGGCGGTGCTGCCGGAAGGGCACGGGCTGGAGGCCTGAGTGCGTCCAGGCTTGTTGCTTGCACGAAGCCTCGTGCACTAGGATTCCCCTGCAGCGATTCCTTTTCTCCACGATCCAGCTCTGCCAGAGCAGGGCAACAGAGGTGAAGGAAGCACTTCCTCGGTGGCCCGTGGGTAGGCTCAATACCACCCAGGCGCCAAGGCACGCGCGCGGGGATGCAGATGAATGCGATGAGTGCACTGAACCGGTTCGCACTCGCCAAGGCTCCAAAGGAGCTGCTGCAGAATGCAGTCGTCGGCCTCACCCTGCAAGGATATGAGGCTCTCTGCCAGGCACCTACCGAGCAGAGCGCAACGAAGCTGACCTACGTCAGAATTAAAAACTCTTTGCACAAAGCCCTACCACCCAAGAAGCCGAAGATAGTCTTTAAGACTCTGCGGGTTTTTACCACATGAGCACTACAAGGTCACCACCTAATCACTGCTTCCAAAGCGCTCCAGCTCCTCCCTGCTCGGCCACTCGATCGCATGCAAGATGCGGGACACCTCCCGCGGGAACACCCCCGGGTGCGGGACGAGAGGGAGACGATGGAAGGGAAAAAAAAGAATCCGCCGCCTTCTCGCCGAACTCCTGGTCGCTGGCATCTGGGCGAAGCCCACCTGAAGTTTAAAACAAAAACTCCCGGACCCCCGGCCATGAAAGGTGCCTGGAAAGCAAAAAAAGGCGCCTCCTGCCACCAGGCGCTCGTGCTCTGGGGTTTCCTTAGCACGGACGCAGCGAGCAGGCGGGGGTATGAGCCCCCCCCCCCCCCCCCCGCCCTGTCTTTCGAAGTCTTCTTCTTGCTGGGAGTCCGGGGCCTGGTCTTTCCGGTCAGATGCCTACCTTGTAGATGAGGCCGTGGTTCGAAAATCACGGGTGATCCCAGCGAATCCCGGCCCCATCTGAAGTTTCCCTTTCTAAGGGACCCACATGCACTGCACCCCGACGCAACGGCATGAGAGTCCAACCGCTCGGTGGTCCGCACTGCAGTACGTCAACACATTGTTGCACTTGTGCTTCCACCTTCCGGTCATAGCAATTACTGCAAGGAGCCCCCTGGCACTGGACCTTCCTGTGCTGGTCTAAAGAGCTAAAAGACATCACCCCCTGGCGTAAAGGGAAACAATCCTGGTGTTCAAAACATCAGGTGGCCCTTTCTTAATGTTCGCTCGCCTTCCTTCCATCTTTAGGGGAAGATGCCTTGCGCTCACAAAAGCACAGTGCTGAGGTCCCAGGTGGAGATGCCCGGTCGTCGCTCATCCCCAGACCCGGAACTGATGTAATCGCGCCCTCTAAGGCTCAAGCGAAAGCCATCCCACCTTTAAGAAGCTGACGCAGATTCCCGTTTGGTGCTGCCACCACTGCAAGTAGTCGAAGAGGGCCCCTATAACCCTATTGAAACTCTACCTGCTCAGCGGGGCGGCTTGCCGCACATCCTGCTCGGGAATACCTTTTTGGATCAACAGCTTGCTTAGAGCTTGCATGCTCTCTCTTCGTCACAGGACACACGCGGCCGTGCACGCCCCTGCTCGTTGCCCCGCCTGTTAATCTCTGAGTCGGTCTGAAACTACGAAGCTCCAGAGCCTGAGAGCTGTGCTTCCCACCGCAACCACATCTCTCGCTCGCTCTCTCTCTTCCTCTGGTCAAGGCTCTGCAGATTCCGCACGCCGCCGGATGCGGCAGACCAACTCATCTAAATTGCCACACCTTCCGCGCAGAGTGGGTAGAGTAGAGGTCCGGCGAAGTGAAGCATCTGACTGTAAAAAGGTGACCCTTTGTACTCTGTCTGAGCCTGATGGCAATGCAGATCAGCCTGTAGGGCTCGTAGGCTTCGCAGTAAGCCTTTCCTGGGCATTCAGTGTCACAAGCTGCCTGTAAGGGACACGGTGATTACTGAAGTGGGGCAACTTTCACGAAGAAGCCAACCTGCGACTCCCCTTTTAGGATGGAGGTTTCAGGCCGGCGTCGCGCTGACTGAGCGCCGTTGGTCGAGTCGAGGAGTATTGAAGATGGCAGCTGCCCCTATCAGGTTCACCGAACTTCCGCACAAACATCGATCAGGCTTCTGTCGTCGTCACATCTTGTCCTTCTTCCTCCCTACATCCTCAACAGTTATACCGCTTTTTTGCCTGCACTTCCGAGCCTGATGGCCACGGGCAGCATGCAAAGACTCCAAGAGACGCTGGTGAGTCCTGTCGTCAACAACAGCGTAGAGACTCTCTGTCATCCGCCCCTTGCGCGATCTCTTCTCTTTCGGTCCTGCGCTTCGCTTCCGCAAAGCCAGCCTCTGATCGCAGCCGCTCCTGCGGCCGAGCCCAGGAGCCCAAGAGCAAAGAGGGCGACACAGGACTCCGAGCCTCGAAGAACGCGAGGTCGCGCTCGAAGACCGTGCAAGCCGCCGTGGCGGCAAGCTGCCTCTTTTGCAGGCTTCCCTTTTTTTTTCAGCGGCGAGGTCTGCGGCCATGCCCTGCCTCGCTATCCATGACTTCCCGACTCCTGGCGGACCAACCGGCAAGATCAGCGTCGCAGGCCGCCGCACCAGAAGGAAATACCTCTGTTTCGGGAGGGTATATGTCTAGATCACCAAGTGAATCGAGACACAAGCAGATCGCTCTCTTCGCCGTCGGATCACGACGACAAGAACTCCGTGCCCGCCAGGAGGTCGAAGGATCGAAACTTCCGGATCTCCTTGGCTCAGGCTGCCTTTTGCCTCACCTCCCCCCTGCCCAATACCATAATGCCGCAATACTATACTATTGTCAGGCCACAATACTCTAGTACCCTTGTACTATACTATACTATGCTAATAGTATACTATACACTCTACTCTACTATATTATGCTACACTATACTATACTATACTCTACTATACACTATACTACTATAACCCCCATCTACACTGGCTAAAGGTGCAGCCCGCTGTCAAAAGCGCCAGGCCCAGAGCAGAGCTCCGTCCACTCAGCTGGGAGGGGCAGATGGCTGCCTCAAATTACCATCACAGTCTAGGGTTTAGGGTGCAGGGTTTAGGGAGTGATAATAGCCAAGTAGTAAGAAAAATACTAGCAGTGGTAATGATCATAGTAGTAGCAATAACAATGAATCTTCAATCACACTCGAGCTCCTCTTCAACAGCATGTGTCAAGCCAGACCAAGTCGCAGGAGTTGTAGGCCACTGCGTAGACGTCGCGCCGCCCTCAGAAATTCTCCGGATCATGACAGAACACGACATGGCCAACGCCGCAAACTAACTAACTTACCTCCTGCATCCGGGCAAGCTGCTCTTCAGGGCCGGGATAACGCCGTCGGCTAGGCCGTGCCGGCTATTGGTCACGTGAACCAGCAGGGGGCCTTAGAGGGCGAGAAGCTGCTCAGCTACTCCTCGGAAACTCGCCTGTTGCCGACAGGCCTTCTCCTTCAGGGATCTTCGCCAACACACCGCCGAAGTCGTACTTCTCGCAGCGTCCGAGAATCCAGCCGGGAGCCGAATTCATGGCCACGCTGGCTTCTGCGTCTGCAAGGGTGACTGGGCAATGCGTGTGCGCGTAGACGCGCTTGAAGCCTCGAGCGGCTCAAAACGGATTCTCAATTGATTCGTGTGGATGCATGTCCTACAGGACAAGGACGCCTCAGGCCTTAGGCCCTGGCCAAAGCGGTGCTGCAGTGCCAAGCCGATGAAGCCGCTGTTTCGCCCAAACATGCAGAGGGTTTTCGCTTGAGCAGTCTGCACAAGTTCCTCCACCCAGCCACAAAGCACCTGGATCATGGCTTCTTCTGCCTTGCCGTTCACCTCTGAGAAGGAATCGGGAGAGAGCCGGTAAGGGAGATGCTGCCCAGGGCAGCCCACCGGCGCATCCTCGATCACCTGAGACCCCAGAAATGCTGCAGAAGCAGCAATCGCCACAAGGAGCCAAGCGCACGTACTCCCGACGGCCACGACGGCCGTATGCGGCCCAGGCACGAAGGGATCCCCATAGAGAGCCTGCTTGAGTGAAGGGAAAATTTCTCTTCGCTTCACCTTCGCGCAAGCCGTGTCACCCCTGCCTTGAACATCGGGTATCGAGGATGCCAAGGGCTTTTCGGCGGCTTCTCGTCTGAACCAGCTGGGGCCACCTGGCAGGCGAATGGTGCAGGTGGCACAGGGAGATGGCCCCGCAAAGCCAGCCTGGTACGTCACGGATTGCACTGCCGGCACCATGGCCCGGAGATCCGTAATGAATCTGGCACCCTGGCCCTGCAGCCAGCTGTCCACGGCTTCCTCACCACGGAGGACCAGCCTTGGTACCATGGAGGCGAGGCACTGGCGAAGGTGGGCTTTCGCTCCGAGTCGCTTCACGCCCAGCCGGCCGCTGCGGGTCAGCTTCAAGGCCGCCTCCACGAAGAACTCGGCGTCGGATTCCTTCTGCGCGAGCTCCTCAAAATCTCAAGCACTTCATGGACGCTTTGCCGCCCTTCGATCCTCAAATCGCAAGCTCCTGCAGCTTCACCGCCAGCTCGTTCAGCTCTCCGGCGCAGCTTTCCTTCAGATTCTGTGACCAACAGCAGCTGAGCACATGCGTTTTGGGCGCCGTCCTGTTCCCCAACAAACTGCTTTCCCAGCGAGAATGAGGCTTTGTTCCGATAGCCAGAGCTGTGTGTGGCCGTGTGCAACTCTGGTCGTCCATCATGCAACTCGTGCATCAGACGCACATAGAGCCTGGGCGGCCAGGGCACGAGCAGCGCTACCGTCGCACTACGGAGTGGAGCTGCACTCTCAAACTGAGTCGAGGCACGGAGAGACTCCGGAACTGCCGCCTGCCTCGCCTTCGTCTTCTTGCCTCGAATTGAAGCGCAAGCAGAGTGCAAGATAGGCCGGCAGCTAGGCCTAGCAAGGCCCACATCACGAAAGCCCAAGCTACATAAGTCTGCCAAGCTGCCCTTTGTGAGGCCGGCCCGACTCACCATAGCTGGAGTTGCTTGCTGGGCGTGCATAGTAGAATCTCGGGGCCAGGACAAAATCTCAAATGCGCACCCCCGGATGAGATTTGGAGATGTCGAGTCCAAACATCCCAGAATTCGTCTCTGGCCTGCCACCGTCGAAGCGCAGGCCACGGGCCTCCTGCGGTCCAGCACGAAGAAGATCGCAAACTATGGGCAGGCGCTGCGGAATGTAGCGCTCGCTGCAGATCGCCTTGAGCGTTCTTCAAATTGTTATCTGAAAGCGCAGCTGAATCTCGAGAGGGATGCCGGGTCATGTTGGTACCAGTAAGTGACAGTAAGTGGTTTCGGCCCAAAGCGTGCGCAAGCAGGAAGCGTGCAGGGCCTCCCCAAAAAACTAACATGTCGTTCGATTTGTTGCTGCTGAGGCGCGGAATTGACGAAGTAAGTCGAAGCACTTGCACGTACGCCATAGCCCTCATGAATGTGGCCGAAGGCGTGCAAGACTGGCTTCTGCTTCAGAACTGCCTGCAAAGAGTCTCCAGCGACGGCAGACAGCAGTTCAAAGAGTGAGTGTGCGAGACACTGTCGCTGATGCCTGCCTTCAGAAGTGCCTTACTTCCAGCAAAGGCCGCCCTCCCATCTTGCCTTGGGTCCGAGCGAGCTGCTCAAGTGAGTTCCGCTGCCTGCAGCCCTGTGGCTCATGTTCGCTGCTCAGGTCACATATGCCATAAGCCTCGGATGCAGAGAGGCCTCTGTGTGCAAACCTCAGGCCGCTGCTGGCAAGTAGCTGGCCCATGTGTCACCAGAATGTCGATGCTCTCGACAGGGGTGTTCTTGCAGCAGTCTCCTCGTCAGGCGAACAAAGACAGATGGTGGGCGGGAGGACACCAGCTCCCTTGCATGGCCTGCCGTCGGCCATCCCGCGCCGTCCTCCACAAACCATGCAGGGAACTGCTCTGGAGCCTGCTGCAACGTCATCGGCCTCCACGGCCGCCTGTGCCTTTTCCTGGCCCCGAAAATTCTCTGAAAAGATTCTGAGCATAGCCGGCATGACCAAGCCCAGCCTCCTGCTCGAAGCTTCGCCCAAAGGCAGCCATCGAATGATCGGAGAAGAAAGGGCCTTTCAGGCTCTCAGTTTTCGCCGCACCGCCTCGGCCCTTCCCTGGCCCTGCCTTGACTTGGGCTCCCGAAGATCCGGATTGGAGAGAACTCCTCTCCGATCCTCGGCTGCAAGGTCCGTTTGCCAATTCCAGAGGCCGCTTCGAAAACCTCCCGGGTCTGCTGCCGCGGGTCTCTAGCTCGAGGAGCTCATCCTCCAAGTAGTGCAGTCCTTGGGAGAATACAGGAGCATGAGGGCAGCAAAGGCGGAATATTTCACGAGCAGAACAGCTTCACCCTTACATCAGAAGCAGGCCTGCACGCCCTGCTATGATTTCTTTGATCTGGACAGGGTTGATGGGTTCCAGCGAGTCTTTGGGGTAGACGTGGCCCTTCGAGTTGTAGTAACCGTGATCAAAGGTGATTTCGTGATTTCCGGCCACCACCACCTTCGCCGTGTACGGAAGCGAGTCCAACCAGGCAGCGAAGTCTTCAACTTCCTCCCGCAGCCCGCTTTTGGTGAAGTCTCCGCAGACCAGCAGGAGGTCTCCGGGAGGCATGGAAAGCTGTCGATGCCGGCAATGCGTGTCTGCCACCATGACGATGCGCAGGGTCCCAGGAGGCTGTTCAGAGATCGTAGCAGGTGCCAGGCCCCTGAGACCCTCCCACGAGGCCCTTCCGACGGCCATGGGCGCAGTGACATCCAGAACACCGGCCTCCAAGGCATCAGCAGCTCCAACGACCAAAACGTTCTTGTTGGTGACGCTTCGTGGGATGCAGCACAAATGGGCCCAGCCACCCCGCTGCCGCACCCAGCAGCATCTATCGGAGTTGAGCAGGCGCATTGCCTGAGCCGACTCTTTCTCAACCGGGGCATCGGCTAGCCTGCAGAGCTCGAAAAAGTCCTCGCGTCCGCGAATCAAGGCACTGCTAGCTCGAGGGTAGCTGAGCTCGAAATCATCGCAGCGCTTGGGAATCTTCCCGAAGCAGCAGGTCAATAGCACGAACTCTGCCCTCGAAGCGAAGCAGTGAAGCAACACCGCATCTACCAAAGGACCACAAGCATGGAGCCCGACAGCCAGTTCGAAGGGTTCCTGAAAGTGCCGGAGGTCTTGGCAGACGAAGTTGACACGCGCCGCTTCCGGGCAAGACTTTGCTAAAGCCGCACTACGCTTGCGGCCTTGCTCGCAGTATGCGGCCTCCAGCTCCAACACCACGATCTCCGGAGTTGCCAGCTCGCTTCGTCCCAGCAGCCAGGCCAGGGCCAATGCGAAGTCTCCCCGGCCTCCACCGAAGTCCACGATGCGGCGAACCGGGCGCTTAGCAACCCGGAGCCGCTCCAGGACCTGTTTCGCCAGGTAGGCGATTTGCTGCCTCTTCTCCCGGAGCTTCCGAAGCTCGCGGCCCAGCAAGGAACTCTGGCGAAGGGCAAAGTACCGCCGCGCCGGCAGGCAGTTCAGCTCGGGCACCACCGCGCGGGGCGCCGAGAGCCAGTCGACCTCCAAGGCGTCCACCTCCGGGACGGGCAAGGCCAGGAGAGCGTACTTCTGCAGCAGAACCTGCCGAGCTCGAAAGAAGCCGAAAGATGGGCGGGGCGGGGGGGGGGGGGGGCAAGGCGCCTGTTCTCGCGACTTCTTCTGCAACTGTCGTCCCTGCCGCTTTTCCTCGCGGAAGCCTTGCCGGACCTGCAGAAATTCGGCAAACATCTCCAAGGGCACCGCGTTAGACTTCACATTCCCATCCCAGGAAGCTCTGAAATCACAGCCTTGCCTACCCCAAGTCAAGTCCTGCAAGCTGACACAAGCCTTGTTCGTGAAGCGTTTTGCTGCTCTTTGCATCTCCTCCTTGTCTTCAGACTCACGAATGCAGTCCCAAAGTCCTGACAGCACAGACGAGCACAGAGAGGCAGCAGGCCATGGCTCTCAGTGTGGTTTTGGGCTTTACGAGGCTGAGTTGCAAGCCCTCGGGCATCCGGACATCCATGTCGTCTGCAGCCAGCCTGAGGTCCGACGTTCGAAGAAAACAGCTCAAATCAGGCGATGCTGCGATGCTTAGAAGAGGCTCCGGCTTTCCATCCCAGAAGCGGTCAATCAGCTTGGCGATGGTGCCTCAGAGGGGTCACCCCGGGTGCCCCTTTCCCGGAACCGGCTCTGGCCTTCACGCCGGTGCTGTCAAAAAACTCTGCTTTGTAGCAGAAATCCGCGTGAGCGAGGACGTTGCCGCGTAGCCAGACATGACCTGCCAGCTGCTGAAACCAAAGCGCCATTGCTCAGCATGACCCCGACAAAGGGAAAGAAGCCCGCGCCTCCGGAAGCTCCGCCCATTCAGGCAGTGGAGGAGGCTAGCCCATGCGTCAGCCCATGGCGGGCGCGATTTACAAGCAATGATTAGGGACTCCTTCCTTCAGTGCTGGCTCAGCGCACGGTCCACCCATCTCTGATGTCATCTGATGTCCCTGACTCACCTATGCAGTCCTTGAGTCAATATCAGAGCTAGCATTGAGCTGGTCAAAAGTGCCGGGTCGAGGCCGCCGAGTCATCTGCCGCACTGAGAGTTTCAGAAAACAAGGGCGCTGAAACATGCTAAACACACATGGAAACCTGGATCCTCAGCTTGCCGGTATAGTATCCTCAAAATGGAACCCCCCAACTTTCAGAATCGCTCCCTAAATCCTGAACCCGATATCCTCAACCGGATGCGGCTGCAACCACACTGGGGTCTCGGCGCAGGAGGAGCCTGGCCATTTCGGGGCTGCAGCGCGTTCACCGCCAAGGTCGGATCCACCTGAACGAGGTCGACGGACGATGATGAGATAATGGATGCTACTATGACTATGCGTGCTGTGGTTGCTGTGACTGTTCATGTTGATACGAACTCCAGTTGTTGATCGTATTGCTGTGGTTTTGCTGTTCCCGTATGACTACAATTGTCATTCAAATCATTCTATGTTTTTGGCCTCCCGCCTGGCTAGGACGAACCTACGATGCAGGGTCGGATCATTCTAAATATTAGTATGATTGTTTGACTTCTGGTCCGAAGTTTTGGTTTTGCACACCTGAACATGCACGTTCAGCCGGAGGATTACAAACTCTATGTTTCCAACTGTGCTTGTTCGTGTACGCTAACTAGTTCTGTCTCGGTCCTCCGACCCTTCCTTTGCCAATCTCGAATGTGTGCGAAGTTGGGCGGGTAGCGGCTTGACTTAAGGGTCCCCCTCAGTTCTCACAACATGGCCAGTTAGCTTTATAGGCTTTCTTGAACCGACTCCGAAAAGTTGATTTCGTTGCTGCGCGGTTTGCACTTCTTCATTCGCTTTCCGGAGTACAAACAAATTTGTGTTGCTCGGTTCAAACAAGTACTGTTACTACCTAAGTCTAGGATCCATTGCTTTCTTTTGCATCAGCTGCGTTAGATAAACAGTTTCAAGGCCATCTGCTGGGCAGCCTTCCCTGTAATTGTCATTGTTACTATTCCTCTTCATGATGCTCCCATGTACTACTATTACTTGCTAGTACAGTTTGTTCTTGTTGAACTTATTGCCATGATTGTGACTATCATCGACTATATTACTATATTTGTACTATGCATAGTTAGTTAGTCTGAGAGAAGCAAGCAACAAATCGACCGAGAGTAAGACCTGGCCCTCGAAAGGCACTTTCCAGCCGCTCCTCCAAAAGGCGTCTCTTGGCAGGCAACCAAGGTGCAGGGTTTAGGGTTTAGGGTGTAGGGTTTCGACGCTTCAGAGCTCAGAGTTTAAGGTGACTTCCGCTGTATCCCGGATCCCCTTTTCGAAATAGCCTTCTAGGCGCTGGATGTAGTCTACAGCATGCCACAAAGGATGCCTATGTACAAGATGTCTAGCTCAGCCTTCGCCGGCTAGATAACTATGGCAGTGCCTGGGCCACATCCGATGCTACAGTTGAATCCGTCACAGCGGTCGATGGCATCGCCATGGCCTCTCCAAATAGCTGCGAGGGCTTCGGACTCAGTGAAGCCCGAGCTTGTTGCAGAGGTAAAGAAGATCCCTTTCTCGGAGATGTGGTGGTTGTAACATGCCGCGGAATATATATAGGAGCCACTTGGCACTGCTTCTGCCAGCTCGTCAAGTCCAGATCGAGTCTGAGCCGCAAACTTCTCCGTGTAGGCAACTTCGGTCGGCGTGAAGGCAGGCTGATCTTGGATTCCGCTGTAGCCGTGAACCAGGTGCGAGAGCTGCCACGAATCAAACTGCGAGGCGATCAACAGGTACGGGGTCCTGTCACAACAGGCAGGGAAGAGGGGCAACTTTTGGCAGCGTGCACGCAACGGACAAGACGGAGGATGTCCTCACGAAGGCCATGCGGTACTGCCCGAACAAGCACTTCCACGCCTCTTCTGACCTGTACCTGGATCACACCCCCATGGTCGGAAACTGAATACAGACCCGACCGTGAATTGCTAAACGAGCCAAGCCGCTGTGCATAGCATGTCTGCGAGACAACTGACCATGCATTGAAATTGGTCAGCACATCACGTGTCTGATGTTGAAATCCTGAGAAATTGGCAGCAGACGATGGGATGTCCTTGGCCGGCCCACCCATGTGCAAGCAAAGCAGGCATTCCTGGCTCTGTGTGTGTGTGTCTGCCGGTGAACATCAGCGAAGCATCTATCCAGTACGGGGAGTCCAGAAATCCATGTACTTGAATCCCAGGAAGCATCTTCGTGACCTCATCTAGAAGCACCATCGCACCTCTGGAACCTGCTGATCCTCCTCCGAAGATCAACCTTTCCATGACATGGTGTAGTCAGATGCAAGGACCATCCAAGACTGCTCAAGAAGACTCCGTGCCTGCTGCCCGGACGAAGACCTCTTGTGCGAAGATCCTCCGGCAGTGCCAGACTTGCCCACGGGTGCAGTTTTGCTGCTCACAAGCGATCCTTCAGAACAGCACGAACAATACGTGCACCGCGGAATTGCCAGGGGCCAAAAGCTCCATCACCTTCGAAGTGCGGCCGCAAGCTAGGATGCGACGAATGCGCGAAGTAAGCATGAGTTTCAGGTTAGATAGCCTACACTCCCTACCCATCGAGCCAGGCGTCCCATGTATGCGTCCGACGTGCAGTACGGGACCTTGCGGAAACTGAGAGGCCAAAAGCGAAACTGCAGGAGACAGCAGTGCAGAACGCAACAAGTGTCACGCATGTTGCCGAGTCACATAAACCTTGCTAGCCTGCTGCAGTGGCGAGCCGCTTCGATCAAATATGCCAGTCCTTGGCTTTTTTGGAGCTCCGGGAACTTGCGCGGAATCCGTGGCACAGCATGATCCTCGCGGTGCAGTCTGGCGCCCAGCAGTTTTGCTTTTTGCTGCGAGAAGCCGTTTTGGCTCGACAAGTCCCCAGAGAAACACCAAGGACCGGCTGCACAGGTCCCCATAGGTCCCAAGTTGGCCCCAAGAGATCACATGTGTGCGATCATGTCCATTAGCCGCCCCATAGAAAAGCCGAAGATGGTCCTCAGCACGTCCTCAGAAAACCGGACAGAGCCGCTGCGAAGGAGTTTCTGTAGAGTGAGTAGCAAGAGCTTGGAAGGCCGCGCCGCCAAGTCGATCGACCACAATTCGCCGTCGCACAGCGGGCTGCCAGTGCCAGCAACAGGTGAAGATCCCATGCGCTCGCCGCCAAGAACCAAGAGGACATTCCCCACACCCCCTGCAGATCTTCAAACATCTAGAATGTCAAGATTTGAAAACACAGCCGGCTAGCGTTGCTAAGGCTGTCTCTGACACTGTTCACCCCCAGCCTTCGTGGAAGGAAGCCGCGAAGTTGCCAGCCCAGGCTGGTGGCATCTCTACAGGGACCCGTCGCCAGCGTCGCCTCTGCAGGCTCAGGGCCCACAAGGAGAGGTCGCCGGGATGGTCCTCCTGCAGGGAGTGGGGGAAAGGGCTCTGGGGACGTGGGATCCACTGGCCCCTGCTAAGAACCAAAATTAAGTCCTTCGAAGGCTTCCCTCGGCCGAGGACCAAAATCCCATCGCCGGAAGCCTCCAGGAAGGGCCGGCAAGGTGCGATCTGGTAGGGCACAGCCTTCTGCTTCTTCCCCACCCACAGGGAGGGGCCGAAGATCTTCACTTCGGACCAATGAGGTGTGCTCGCGTCCAGCTTCAAAGTCCAAACATCTCGCAACAATTTGTATCGATTGCTGCCCCCATGAAGCACTAGCACACGGTTGGAGATGGCGCAGGAATGCTGTCCGCGTTCAGGTGGCCGGGCGCCGCGAGTGTGCACGATGAGCCAAGACCCACAGTTCAGCCCGCACTTGAGAAGGGTATCGTAAAACTCGTACTTTCCTTGGACGCACTTCTGGCCTCCAAAAAGATACGCCTCGTCTGTGGCGCTGTCGTACGCTAAGGAGTGGTATGCACCGACCACTGGAACAGAGTCCATGCCGACGCGGGGTTGGAAGAACTGGCCGTTCTGGGGGCAGAAATACCACACATCGTTCATGTTTGTTTCTTTGTCAAAGCCCCCGCAAAGTAAGAGTAGGTTCTCTCTCGTGCCAGGCTGTGGAGGATACTGCGCAGGCACAACCACGGAGGAATGGCCCCATCTCCAGCTTGGGGCAGATTCCGCTGGCTTAGGAGTCATGTCACTCCAGCAGCGCCTGTGCAGATCGAAAAGCAAGAGAGAAATCTGAGGGCTCGAGGTATCTGGCCGAGCGCCGCCGATGCACCAGAGCCGGGCATCATGGCTCACAACACAATGCCCCTGTATCCCCTTCGGTGCACCGACAGCCTCGGCAGGATCTAAAGGCAGGTGTCGCCAGTCATCCACCTGAAAGTCTGTGAAACTCTCCTCCTGAACGCACTTGCCCTTGCCACTCTTGCCTTTGCCTCCGCCCTTTGCTTTGGCTTTGGCCTTCGCCTGTGCCTGTGCTCGCAAGTTTGGCCTCAATAATGAACGAAGGAAGGGTGAAGGCGGCAGGTCGCATGGGGGGCCGTGACCCATGCTGGCAAAGCCGCCTATCCCATGACCCAAGACTGTGGTGGGCTGGTGGCCCTTCTGTGAGCCAAGGCCAGGCAAGCAAACATCAAAACACGAAATGACGCAATGCTTGCACCCAGACGTTTGCTCAGAAATTGCTCGGAATGCTATTGGGACAAAGATGCTTCCCACAAGTCTCCGAGAAGTCCTTGCGAAGCTGCACCCAGCTTCAGAAGTCTCATGATCGATACTGACGCGACAAAGCCAGGTCCTTGTTCGACATGAAGCACGGGGAGCTCAGCGTGGAGGTATTGCAGCTCTGGTGAGGGAAGGCAGTCCCATCCTGAGGCAACAGCCCCTGAAGGACACTGGGCAGCTAGGGATCAGGAAAGAGCAGTCTTCGAATGCTCAACCCTCGAGCCTCGCGAGCCGCGCAGCTTTCATGGTCGTGGCACCAGCCACCGCCAGCCAAATAGACGAGCCGTTCTCTGCTTGAGGTGTTCGCCTCATCTGGCTACGCCCTATGACAAACTTGATGCCCCACCGGCATGGGGCGAGGGTCCTCCAAGTAGTAGGCGGCCTCGCTGCCATCGTTGCAAACGGCTAGGCGGTCTACCTGCCAGGCTTGCGAAGCCTACTCAGGATTCCGGTTGGCCGCAAACGCCCCCTCCTCGCCAAGTTTGACTTTCGCGAGCACCGTCGTCGCTCCCGCATCGTCGCAGCTCCAAGCCTCGCATGCTCATAGGTCGAGCCAGCCAGTTTTCCGCTAGCGTGAAGAAGTCTAGCTCTGGGCTCACTTGCCACCAGGAGGCGTTCGCTCCAAGGATGATTGTAAACAAATGCCTTGGGTGCCACAGGAGCGAGCAAGCGCGTTTACACGAACAGCATGTGCTGCTCGTGTCAATTGCGCTCCAGATTACGGAAGTCTACCTCCATGCAAATGCGACACACGACTGAGGAGCATGCATGGCTACTACGAGGACTGGATGTCCGAGACACGGCTTGAGAGCGATGTCGCGGTCTGGAAGACCAGACGGGTTCATTTGCATTCAGCATGTCACCTCCCCTGCCTACCCATAAGCATGCGAAACAAGGAGTCTTTGGAGCATTCCTCAGTCGTGGCCAGTCTGCATTCTCTCGTTGCAGCCCCACCCCTCCAACCCTCAGGTGAGCATTCTGAGTAGAGCTGGTTCCCTGCCTTTGCCTTCAAGGTTCTGAGCATCCAATCTGGCTAAAATCGGCCAGAGCTGCCGAAGCAACTCCGCAAAAAAAGCGAGTGAGGAGAAGCTCAGGGCAGCAAGTACACAGCAGCCCACATCGACAAGCAGCATTACCAAAGGGCCAAAGACCTAACACTTCCTGGTGTGCAGGATGCGGGGAGTGCTCAACGTATTTTTAGTAAATGTACGACTGGTGTAGCGATCTTCGATCAGTCTTACTTTAGTTGTGGGTTGATGGGCTGTTGGCCAGCGAATGGTGACGAGCCGGACACTGAGAAGCGTGCAGTCATCAGCTCATGGCTACGGTCATGGCCTCAAAAGAAGCTGCGCACGTCGACACAAAGGAGCAACTTTTCCATTGCCCCGACGGCTTCGGAGTTGTGCGTATCAAGACATAAGGATCAAGGGAAGCACCAAGAAGAAAGCTGCTGCCGCCAGGTGAACGAAGGCCTTTCCCACTTTGTATGGGAAGAAGACGGTGCTGATGATGGCACTGGTGATTGCCAGCGACATGCAAGCGCTGACAACAAACCTCGGCACAGTCCCGGGAGTGTCCGTCATGCTTCGTGAGATGGGGAGCATGTGCATTATCCCCTCGGAGGAGATGTGGATGCCGGCGGTCATCACAGAGAGCACCACAAGTCGGAATGACCAGGAGCCCAGGCCCACATCAACGCTGGAAGACTTCCGCAGTTTTGAGAAACATGAATCCAAAGTTTGGTGTCCTTCATAGAGGCGAAAGATCTCTGGGGTGGCAACTCCCGTACAGCAGCCAGCCACAAAGTTGCAGCTAAAGCACAGGCGGCTTTGGGGACACACCTGGTCCTCCTGGGCCAATCCGACTCGCGACTTCCGAGCTTCCTGCACAACTAGCCTTTTGTGCTCCCCTTCTTCGTAGACCTGCGGCACGAGCCTGTACGGAAGGAGGGTGGCAGAACCATCACAAGCATCATCTGCTGCTTGCAATGCCAGTACGGTTGCGCGACCGGAGGCAGCCATCTCGAAGGTGACACGCAAGTCACCCAGCATAGGTTCTGATGCTATTTTCTCCGCTGCAGAGTCACCGCCTGCCCGCCAATAGTAGCGCCCATCGGAATGAAGGAGAAATCTCATCTTGCCACTATGCGTGAAAACTTCTGACCCCAACAGTGGCGCAGCAGACTTGAATGAAGAGCATTGGTCCAGCAGGCCGCGAGGTAAGACGAATCCCAAACCGAACTTGACTGACGTGGAATTGGTAATGGTTGTCCCAACTGCCAAGGCCAGCGGTGGTGTCTTCTTCGAGGGGTCTCGCCGTGAGAGGGAAAAACTCTGTGGATCCTCTGACCATTGTTGCTGCAACTGAGAGTTTCGACCGTCAACCCATTGGTAGACTTGCACCTGCGTTCGAAGACGGCCGCAGCCAGTACTAAGCTTTTGACACGCAAAGCGTGGATCTTGAATCGGTATCTCTGGCTTTAGCTCGCCAGACAAATGCACCAGGCAACCAGAATTTTCTGGCACTGCCTTCGCATCCTGAACACTTCTGCACATGCTACGGCCAATTGACATCAAGCACTCCAGCCGCGCAAGCTGCCGCTCGAAATACCACGAAGCAGTCACTGCAACCAAACTGAGCAAGATGCCTAAGCAAAACTTGCCCGTGTTCTTCACCCACAAAATGCCATGTTCTTGTGCATCAGCATCTTCTTCGCTTGAAGCATTCGCCTTGATTTGCTGAACTTCTCGTGTCAAGGCGACTTCTGGATTATGTCCAGGTTTCACCAAGCTGAGGCTGTGTGTTGAAAGGCAGGTGAACGCCATAAGAAGAGCCTGCCTCATCATGCCCATTTGAGAGAGGGTCCGTGCCACATGCACGTTCTCAGCTGTACGATGGTGTTGTCGTCGAGTTCAAGCACCACGTAGGTCCTTTGCTTATGGAGGTTCAATCTCAGGAGGATCGGAAGGTGAACCACCTCCTTCACTGTCACTTGAGCCGAATAGATGGCTGGCAGTCCAAACACGCAGTCTCAAGTCCGCATGCCATTGCGTGCCATGGAGTGATGAAGCCCTCAGCGCCCCAATTCAGTCCTCGGCGGCGTCTGACCCTCCGCGCCGGGGCGAAACGACCAGACCATGTCACCGCCAACAGAGGCACCGAACCACCTAGGAGGCATCAACAACGCGATAGACATGGGGTGGGTGAACCGTGCTGCTGAGTACCAGACCATCCGCACATGTTCGGGCCATCCCGGCTGTCCCAGAAGTAAATCTGGACCTCCTCGCGGTTTGCCGCAACGACAATTGAGGAATCTAGCTGAGGCTTTTGCAGTCCTGCCCGGGCCCCAGCTTTTTATACACAGGTCCTTGGTTTGTCTCGATTGGCTCCATAACCAATGCCATGGACCATGGTTATTTCGAAGTGCGGCTGAAAAGTGATTAATAATGGTCCTTTGGGGCTTTGCTCTACCCTCGGACCGGTAAGTAGCCCTGATCTTGCCGCCAGGTGACTGCCGTGATTCGATCCGGACCGGAAGTACTCCCCGCCTCAGGCGACAGTTTTCAGGCGCAAAGCACCAGAAGACTACCACATGCCTACGAGCCGCGGATGATCGATCCAACGGTTTCATGCCAGCAGCCTGACACGGCCTCACAGAAAGAGGATCGAGATCTGAAGGGGAGGCCGTTTGGAGTCCGTTGGAGCATCGAGTGCGGGGCGAGCTCCGCAGACTGGCTCTTGGCTTTGCCGCCGTCCTTTCCGAAAGAGTCCTTGCCCATCTGGCCCTTGGGGCCGAAGCCCTGCCGCAAGGAACCGCTCCAAGCACCCTTGGAGCATCGCTGCTATTGGGACAAGAGCGAGCCTTGCCCGCCTTTCCGTCACCAAAAGGGCTCTTGGATTTGCCCTGACGAGCTCTTGGAGCTTCAGTGCGTGATGTAGAGACTGGCACAGGGCCTTCATGGACATCTGCCCCATCTGCCATGTGTCCATCTCGCCCTTGCCTCCTGACCTGAAGCTTGGAAGGATGCTTTTAACCCAAAATTTCCTCCTGTTCCTTCACTCTGCCGGCAAGCAGCTTCCCATAGCCCTTCGCGGGGAAGCCACCAGGGCCACCACCGGGGAAGCCCTTGGCATCTTTGCCTCCAGCGATCACACTTCTGGAAACTCCCCCTGAATTCAACAGCGAAGGCCTTTCTTCCCTCCCTTGGCAAAGCCCTTCATGGCTGCTAGGTCCTGCTAGGTGGCGTTGGTTGAAAACTAGACTTTTAACTGAAGTAGGAGTTAAGCGACGGATCCGCGGGCTAAAAGCGCAAGTTAAGGAGACGTGGTGTGTCCGGCAATACTATGTCACCTCGAGGTCTGAACATGCAGTTCTCCTTGGTTGGTGTGCGTGCTTAGATGTCATACCCCTCATGACCTGTGTTCGAGCCAAGGCAAGTGACAGCGATGCCATGCTCCGGGCAAGACTTCCCATGGTTCCTTCAGCAACCAACAAAGTAACCGTATCTCACTGCAACGCCGTAACTTGGTCTCTGGACACCTCCAGGACCGGGTCCCTGGCCAGGCCCAGCCTCTCGCGGCGCAGGCAGAGAAGTGGAGGCCTGTTTTGTATACCCCACTCTGGCTGCCCGGCCGACGGAATTCGGCCAAGTCCCCACTGCCGCCGAAGTCCTGCACAAGGGAGCCAACGGCAAGAGGCCACAGGACCTCGGAAGAGTCGTCTCGTCGTTACCTGCAGCTGCCTCGAGCCTCTCCCAAATCGGTGGTCCCCCAATACGCTCACTGCAGCTGCCCGAGGTTGTCCACCTGACTGACAGGCAAAGCCGAAGCCTTTTCCAAGTGCCGATCACACAATTGCCCCCCACGTGCTCGCATATTTGGCAAAGGCTGCACTCGGGGTGCCCCCTGTAATGCTTCATTATACTCCCTTGGTCGATGCCTGCTGAGTTCGTGAGCAACCGTCGGGCCTCGTCGTGCTTTGATGAAAAAGCAATCAAAGCTCAGAAACAATTGTCTGGGGCAGCTGCTGTGCGCACTGCCCGAAGCCGCAAGGCCACCGGCACTGAGGAGCCAGGCCTAAGACAGCTCGTGCTTTTTTCTATGATGATTCGATGGGTGCAAGATTTCGCTTGTTGAAGGGGAGTGCCAGGTCTGACTTTGGGATCTGTTGCCTGGCGACTAGCACTAAAACCTAACAAACCCTGCTGGGAGCAGGGGCAGCCTGGCGACAGAGCTGCGGACACCTCTCCGCGAGAGGCGATGACATGCACAGCTCCCAGGGCGGAGATCGGCAAGTCATCAAGCCTCAGGGATGTGGCAGACGGCGACGCAACCACGAAAGAGTTGAAGCCGCACGTCCTCGCTCCGAGTGATGGGCGGCGGGTGCTCGCAAGTGGGCCTCAGATGGATGCATCTTCGCGACATCGGAACCAACATGGAGAAGCTGCAAGATGCTGTGCTGAGCCTGGCTTGTGAAGCGAAGCTCTTCATGCAGTGTGGGTACCAGCTGTTTCTCTGGCAAGCAACAAAGAAACACCCTGGACGCCCCCAGACAAGCCCACTGAATCTTAGTGCACCCTATATTCTGTTTTATTCCTCAAAATGCTTGGCCATGCACGGGTGCGGCTCTTCAAGCTGAGAGGGGTCCGAGTCCGATTCCTCCAAGGCGCTGATCGAGTGTGCCTCATGCGGCCGCGGCTCTGCTTGGCTTTGTTATATTATGTTATATTATATTCTATTTTATTTGAGAGCAGAGGTAAAGCGTTCGACTCGTCTTGCGTCTGCCTCTCCGGATGTCTACTGATTCAACACAAGTCCCTGCCTTGTATGACAAGTCGTCGTCGGGGCTGCGGCGGCTGAAAGCGCCTAAATCTTCCGAGGATGGCGACCTTCCGAGATCTTCCGAGAAGCTGATATCGCAGCAAAACAGGCGCGACGAACCCCCGCTGCAGCTCTCCTCCATGTGCGGAATGCATCGACCGGCTGCATCAGCTTTGGCCTGAGTGTCACAAGCCCAAGCTCCTGCTGTGAAAATTGAAGCACCCTCCAAGTCCCTGAGCTTCCGTAGCTCTGAAGAACCACCCACCCAGACTTCACACACTTGCGGAGCTTCCTGTCGCGTGCCTGGAGATTTGAGCTGGAATGGCAACGTCGGCCACGACACCTGGGCTTGGCCCCCATCTTCCCAGTCACGGCTGCGGCTGGTGGGGGAGCATACTCAAGGCCACCGCACTGACGCACTGCACTACGAAGCAAAAACCCTAATTAGCCTTGCTCATACGACGCCAATCTTTCTTGCTCAGCGGATGTCGGAGCCCATTTCAGATGCTTCATCCTTCGTGACTCTACGACTCTGCACGCTAAGCCTTTTCAGGATTTTCGGCTGCGTTCTTCTCCTGCGCAAGCACTATCTCTCGCACACGCGGGGTCGCAAGCTGCAACGATTGGTAACGTAGCAACACACCGTCCTTCTTCTCTTTCTTGGCTTTCTTGTCCTTCTTGACGCCCAGCTTTAGATGCTTCTTCTCAAGGACGCGTTTGATTTTTGTGGCGACATTGAAAGCGCCCTTCTCTTTTAGCACGCTGTACTTCTTGAGCAGCTTCCTGCTTGCAAGAATGGTCTGGCCGGGTGGAGGACAGTGCAGAACAGAAGCAGCCGGGGCGCTTGTGCTCTTCGAGTGGCTTCACGCCGTGCTCCACACCTGGAGATCTTGTCCAACTACTCGGACATGCATTGCAAAAAAGGTTCTGAGAGACCGGCAAAAGCGAATTGCTATTGCACTGTCGGGCTTCTCCTCCAGCAGCGACTCGTAGAATGCACGGGTAGGATCTGCCACTGGCGGAGTCAGTGCCTTCCTTGCTGGGCCAAACAAACACAGTGAAAGAATACGAGAATCGCAGCTTAGGTCTAAAAATGTGTGTGTGTGTGTATGTGT